CATACTTACAACTGTTGCGGCATCCCCATGGTCACCTGATCAAAATTCGGATGCTTGGCAATTGACTCATATTAATGACAGTTGCGGTGTCCAAGTGTGCGAGCAAAGTCAATGGGGAAACCCAATTCACTTAACAACAGTGTTACTAGCTTAACAACCACAGTGATTCCGTGGTCTCCAACCTTGGCAACTTTAAGACTTGTGGGATTTGAAAATATTAAGATTTGATTCTATAAAGAATGTACTCTGGGAGTTGAAGTCCACAGGTCTTAAAGTTGCCAAGATTGGAGACCACTGCAGTGATTCACTTAACAACTGGGGCAAGAAAGATTGTAAAATGGGGCAAAACCCACTTAACAAATATTCCACTTAGCAACAGAAACTTTGGGCTCAATTGTGGTCATGAGTCGAGGACTACCTGTAACAATGTGGTTTCCCTTAACAATGGCAACTAGAAATCCCAAAACTGTTGTTATAAGTTATAAGTTAATGTGATCATGTGACATCATCCTTATGACTGCTCCACTTAGCAGTGGCGTTGCAGTCCCAATTACCATTGCTAAGCAAGGACTACATACATACATACATNTGGTTTTCTTTCCTAATTATTCAATGGAGGAGTGCTGACACATGATTAGTACAAATTTAAATCCAACCATCTTATTGTCTAGCTACCTAAAGTATTATTTTATGCTTTGTGTCAACCAGTAGCAAAGAAGGAGAAATGGAGACAGATTTGCTCGGCTGCATGTGATATGTGGGTTCAATGGTATCTTCAGGAACTATTAAATTGAAAGACAATGTTCAAATGTTTGCAAAACGTGGTCGGTTCGATGTGTTGTTCATTACTTTTCCAATTATTTTTAATACTAACATTTGAAGACTAGAATATAAATTTTAATTAATTTAAATAATTTATTTCAAGATGTCCCCCTTAACAGATTAATGCAGAGGTTTCCAATCTGTGGGATATAGCCATGGACTATTCACAACTGGGCTGTATGAGTGACAGGCCAGCGTACTTGCACACACAGCCTGATTTACATGAATGGTGGGCGTCATTGCCCACAGTACAACTTGTGTATGTTGTAGGTGCTGGCACTTGCAGCCCTATTCACATGAACAGTGACAAGTGGTGCTCGCGGGTCCACTCAAGCGAGGAGAAGGTGCATGCAGCTGCCACTCACACAAATGATGCTATGCCCACACATGCCTGTGGGCATGTCTGCCCTTTGCAGGAAACCATCCCCACTCCATGATGGGCTGCCAAACTGGAAATTTTGAGGAATGCTGGTTCAGTGCATATTTCTAAGAGCACTATATAAAGATCTTAAATTAAAAATCAGAATATCACCCATATATTACAGAGCTGAGATGGTTTGGATTTGTAGCTAATTTGGATTTGAATATACCCAAAAAAGAGGGTGAAAATCTAGGTGTGTCTTATATACTGAATACAGCCTTTTTGCCCTCCAGAAACCCTGCCCCTTCGCAAAAAATGATGTGCAGAGGGTTTGGGAGGCCTGCAAAGTGCTCCTGGGGGCTGGGGAGGGCAAACATAAACACAATTTTTTAGTTTTCAAAATCTTGGTACGTCTTATACTCCGGTGCATCTTATACACTGAAAAATGCAGTATATTTTTGTTATATGTTTTATATATATGTTACCTAATTAGGATAATGAAATGTTTGCTAGAAAGCCAGCAAGCTGAGAGGGCATGAAGGACCCATAAAATATATATTTTGATCATATGTTCCCAAGAAACATAACTTATTCATATACAGTTCCCATCATAAAGGTTTCTGATAAGACTAAAGAGCCAACGATCCAGTGAAGAGGTCTCACGTTTTTGCCATTTCTTCCTTCTTTATAATATCAAAAGCCAATTTAAACTCTGGAGAGTTTAAATATCATTCATCTAGCGGTCAGATGTTATAAAATCAAGCTTTCTCTGTTCATCTGCAATGATTTGCTCATTTTCCAACCAGTCCCTGAATTTATCACAGTGGTGACTAATGCAAAGCTTTCCCAATTAGGCTTAGGAAACTAATGGAGTAATAGTTAATTAGATCAAATGTGAGCCCTTTCTTGTAAACCAGAACAATTACAGTCATATCAGTCTTCTGAAAACTATCTAGAAGAGTTAATAAATGTGAAGAGGGCAGCCAGAATTGGGATCCACTAGTCAGCATTATTCTTTGTCATTTGTACAGGAGTACATTTTAGAGCAAATGGCTTTGCCAGGCCTTAACTGGCCTGTGAGCCTTTCACCTTCTGAGTTGCAATAGGAAAACATCTTGGGAGCTCTCTTTTGGTGGTGAATGTCCAAGTCATAACTCTGTTTAGAGTAGCTACTGGGTGTTGTGGTCCTCTAATGGCCTGTGGAGCTGACAGCAGAGTTGGACAGTGAGAAGGTTGGGGAGGAACATGAACCAGTCCTGGATCTGGGGAAGGCTTGGACAAGAGCTGTGCATTGGAGGCAGAGAAGGGGCCAAAACCATCTGATAGTTATGAGTCTGACATCAGCAAGGCAGAAGAACAATGGGAGCCTTTGCTCAGTCTGTGCATGCATAGAGTTGCCAGAAAGGAAGAACAATTAAGAAAAAGGGGTGACTTGGGAGCAAGGCTTGGAGATGATTGGCCCCTCTCATAAGACATAAAAGAGAAGCAAACAGACATGAGCCTTTGCAGGAAGCAATTAGTTCAAGGTCTGAGAAGTTCCATTTGACTCTGTGGTACGTTTGGCCTTGCAAAACTAATTGGCAATTAGGTCCCTGGAAACATTTCAAGGAAGATAAAGGTGAGTGCTTATCAATGGTGGGTTGCAAGTGGTACGCCCTGGTACAGGCATACTNTACCACAAATTTGTAGTTGTCTTGGGAAACTTTTTTTTCCCCTGCACAAGGCATGTCAGGAATTAGAACATTGAATGTAATTATTTCAATCAAAAGTAATTTATCTGATCTTTCAACTTGCTCAAAAAGCCTTTGCTGAACAATTGATTGGGTATTCTGTTACAGAGGCACAATAGGAATCGGTCTTATTTAGCACAGCGAAAAGCTGTGTACAATTCTGATGGAGTTAATTTAGATTTTAGAATGACTGCCTAAAGTTTCCTTAGCTTTCTTCCCCAAATAGTCTCACTGTTCCATTTTTCTTATGTTTTTGTTTCTCTGTGAAAGATAACATGACTGTGTATTTAGCTTACGTTCTATTTATAAGGAAAAAGAATTCAAACTTTCTTTTATCTGTATATCAGTTCGCATCTTTTTCGTAAAAGCGGATCCTTTAATGAATCATATAGTATCCAGAAAAAAACAAGATGACTGTTTCTTGTAATAGTCACAATGAATACTTATATTTATTCATACGTTCAATGTGTGAGATATGAATAAATAAAGTAGTTGAAAACAAGATGGTTTCTAGAGGAGATATCCAAGCACTCATAGAATGGCATATTCAGGGTAAATTTGGGCTCGAGGTGCTTGTGACATACTGGCTGAAATGTACCACATTGACTAGTATTGTCCATACTGTTATCAGAGAATATAACATAGGACATGGATACAACAATAGCAATAGCAATAGTCAACCCTGAGCGTGAGGTGAGATTTGAACAGCCGGACTGCAGAACTGCAGTCAGCTGAAGTAGCCTGCAGTGCTGCATTTAACCACTGTGCCACCTCGGCTGAGTTTATGTTGTTGATGAGTTTATGTTGATGATGAGTTTATGTTGATGAGTTTATGAGTTTATGTTGTTATAAATGTAGGCAATATGATCATGTTTATATTCAATCTTAGGAATCCTTTGCAGTGGGATCTTTTATACACTCCCCTTGGGAGTGTATACCTAAAAAGCCAACAATTCTTTGGCAATCTAAGAAGAATATATTCCAGGGGTTGGTTCCGGCAGTTGCTATTGCCAGTTCGCTTGTGGGAGCTTCGTGTGTGTGTGTGTACACTTGATGTGCACTGTGCGCGCATGCGCAGTGCAATAAAAAATGCTCTGTGCATGCGCAGAAGCAAAAAACAAAAACCGATTTGGGGTCGTGGCAAGTTTGGGTTGCTGCTGTTCCAGCGAACCAGGCCGTCAAACCACTACCAGTTCAGCCAAACCGGTCCGAACTGGTAGGAACCCACCACTGGTATATTCATGTATAAATTTAAGAATAGTCTTTTGGTTGTGATTGAACCAATGGTGGGTTGCAGGTGGTACGCGCCAGTAGGGGTGTACTGGAGCCTGCCGAGAGCACCAGATACCGTTCCGGTATGGTGCTCCGGGGGGCCCACCCGCCCGCCCATGCTCTTTACCTGTGCTTTAAGCTTTTGGCATGTACGGCGCCTGTGCAACGCTCCCCCGAGCAGCTGGAGCATTGCGGAGGCTTGCGGAAGTGTCACAGGCAAGTATGACACATGCGTGCACCACACGCATCCATATGGGTGACGCTGGGGCCGTTCCAACCGTATTGGTTGGAACGGAACCCAGAACTCACCACTGGATTGGACCCTTGGTTTTTAAGCACACTTTATAAGCTAGCACTTTCCAGAGTATCATGAAGACCTTCTCTTTGAAACTTAATTAATGTAATTATCACATACGTCAAGGAGAATCTGAAATATGTGCCCAGCGGAGATGGCAGAAGAATTGGGCAGGTTTTCATGGAATCCATAGAGGGGCTGTTTCTCCCTTCTGATACGTTCCCAGCAACGCTGAGTTTTTAAATTCATGCTCAAGATCAACTGGGCCCCTTTCATTCTTCTTCACTCTCCTAAGTTAGAATAAAAGCTACATTTCATATTAATCGGTTTGTGTTACCTTTTTTCCCCTAAATAATGGGTTACCACATTTGGGGATTGTCTGTTAAGATCACGCTGATATTAACAACTCTATCCAAGATGAAGAAACAGATTGTTACCTGGGGGTCCACATCCTGATTGTTCCTTGACTCCTCAACTGATTGGATTAATGTGCTTCTTTTTGCTCTTCGTAACAGAGTGTCTTTAGTGATCCCACCATGCCAAAGGTCCCGCTATGCCACTTACTTTGATGTCGCTGTATTACGATGCCTGCTTCAACCACACTGGTCTGAGGAAGGCACACAATGGTCCTTGATGTATTATCTCCAGCGGTTGCGCCACATGTTAGAAGAAAAGCCAGATAAATCGTTTGACCCAGAAGTCCCACCACTGCCAAGACCCCGCAGTAGTTCGATGGTGGCTGCTACACCTTCATTAGTCAATACTCACAAAACACAGGTAAAATCAGGCAAGCGGATGGCTAATATTTCCAGTTTTAAACATTAACACCTGGTCAAAAGTTCAGTTGCAAGTTGGGATTGAAGTTCATGTTTAATTATGCATTGCTGAACAAAGTACTCACTATCGTCATCAAAGTTCTAGATATACATATTGAACTTTACTTATTGTACATTGTTTATGTCTCTTTACTTAGCAATAGCAATAGCAGTTAGACTTATATACCGCTTCATATGGCTTTCAGCCCTCTCTAAGTGGTTTACAGAGTCAGCATATTGCCCCCAACAACAATCTGGGTCCTCATTTCACCCACCTTGGAAGGATGGAANGAGAAGAGACTCCTCGTTGTTTCTTGGAATTTCAACTTTAGCAAAAGAAAAAAATAAATAGTTTAAAAATATCACTTGTACTTCAGCTCTGCTGGCTGGAGAATTCTGGGAGTTGAAGTCCACAAGTCTTAAAGTTGCCAAGTTTGGGAACCACTGCCTTATTTGATAGGAGAAATGTGTAACCAACCCTGTTTATCAATCAGGATCCATAGTTAACACAATGCTATTGACGGAATTGTTGAAATGTGGCCCCTGTAGCTTACTAGTGAGAAGTCAAAAGGCTGACTTGTTACATATACAGATGATGAAAAGAAACAGGAGATCAAATCGGTATTTTCTATGCCTTTCCCCCTTCAAATATGCAGGTTCAAAATAGAGAAAGGCACTCGGTATCTGAAACTGAGCTGGGTGGTCACTATGGCAATGGGGCTGCAGGCGGGGTCTCTAACCCGCGTCATTAATTTCTCTTCATTTGCTGAACTCATTGATTCACCCCAAACGGAACTGGAGAGGGTGTTGCCTAGCAACCAGCAGGAACAGAATAAATGCTGTTTGCTCTACTTACCGATCCAGCTTTTATACAATTATTTCTGTCCTTGAAGATAGAAATTCAAACAATCGTTACATGCTGGCCTTTGGGGAAAGTGTGTGTGTGCAATCACTGACGCATTGAGCTTAGTGTGCAATTAAAATTAAGTAGGGGAAAAAATTGTACCTTTTAAAAAATTGCTTTAAGAGAGGAGGGGAAAGAGAAACAGAAGTGGGAAAACGGGGGAGGAGGGGAACAAAAATAATTTACAAAAACAACAACACCACTGACTCCAACCAAATGACTTCCAGGCCTGCTTTGTTGCATTTAATGCAGGAGACAGAACAGAGCGAATGCTAAAAATGAAGCCAAGACCTTTGTCAGAATTCCAGAGGAATTACATAATAACGTGCTACTTGTACTAACAGAGGCATCTTACTTGATTGCTTGTGTCCCATAGAGAGAAGGAAAATCAAAATATATGCCAATGATAAAGGTGCAAGTCAGGGAGATTAAGACTGGCGCAGTGGTTAGGGTGTAGTATACTGCAGGCCACTTCAGCTGACTGTGATCTGCTGTTCAGCGGTTCAAATCTCACCGGCTCAAGGTCGAC